AATTCATATGTTGCAGGAACTTGGAATTCCCAGATCGTCAGATCTAAACCCACCTTAAGCGATCGTCGAATCTAAGGGGGTTAATTTTACCAGAAAAATAACAAAATAGGCTCAGTGTTTGGAACTTATGACCGAGCGGAGTTGCTTTGTTAAGTGTGGTGTGGTATTGTGTTAGGGTAACATAATTACTAAGCTTGTGATTTTTCTTCTGGCAGGTTCACTAGATCTAACGAACGTGAAGTATAAAATAAGCGATTTTTTGTTTCTTATAGGGTGGGTTATAATAATATTTTTTGTCCATATATAATTTTTTTTACTTAATTCACTTGTAATTTATTTCAAACGTATGTATTCGTTTTATACGGAGGGTTTTGACCTACAATTGTTTTCTAGGATGACTACTGGGGCAAAACCTTATTCATTATGATTTTTTATTTTAGGAACACAAAAATGAGCAGTACTAATAATTCTAACAATCCAGCACCATCTAACCCAGCACCATCCAACCCAGCACCACCTCACTCAACACCGTCTAGCCCAGTAGCGTCCAACCCAACACCGTCTAACCCAGTACCCTCTAATCCAAGGTCGTCTAATCGAAGGCCTCAATACAGTAATAGAACTTGTAAGTAAATTTCATATTACGTAATTAATTTTGTATTTTTTATGTAATAGGCTCTGGGTATTTCTCTGAGATATAATTTTCCGATTAAATCTTTCATTATATTAAAACCAGACAACGACCTCTTCTATCCTATTTCGAGGAAAGCTGTAGAAAGATATAAAAAAAATGATGACTGGGATGTTATAAATCCTGGTCATGCCGATGACTATCTATAATCGTGCCCATATATCATATTTTTTTATTATAAAATATTTTTTTTATTTGTATATTGTTGGTCCGGCAACAATTTTTATTAAATAATAAAGAGAGGGGTCCGATGGGCTCCCATTTTTTATTTTAACGCGATTTTTATTGGCGCCAAAGGTGTGCTTCTCTGAGGCAAATAAGTCGAGGGTATTAATATGATGTGCTATTATTACACCATGAAACTTTACCTCTAAAAGTTATATATATTCAATGAATATCGAATAGCCTTCTTTTAATTCCTTTTATGTCAAGCAGTAAAGACGTACCAGGTAACGAGTTTCATACCACTATGATAAAACTTTGTTGACATTTGTTACATTTTACAATATATACTGCATATAAAAAAAGTGCCAAACTTGACATTGATGTCACGGTTAGATAATGAGACGCTACATAGATGATATTAATGTTTTTTCATAAAACACGAATTATTCAGAAATATATATTATTGCAATGCATTACAAAAAATCGCCCGTGATTTTTAAATAAAACAATTCCGACATGAGAAATCCTATTTATACTAATTGTCATTTGATCGAAATCGGGTTACTTTTACTCTTTTGGCTTCGGGTTCAGTATCAACTGCTTTATCCACTAACAAACCAACAATTATGCTCAAAACCTTTTTCGTATTTTTGCATAAAATTTCATATTCATTCGATTCCTTATTCCAAGCTTCTTTGCAATATTCAATAACAAAAGGTATTACATTGCTTAACGAGATCTCTCCTGGGTTATGAAGTAAAAAATACCATTCTCGTGCTACAATAAATGAAAACATGATTTTAATAAATTTCATCTTTTCTTATTATTATAAGAGATAGAGTAAAATTGCGTACCGGAAGTTATGATACCGTAAAGATAATCAAAATCCTCATTTCCATCCCGTTTTCGCTTTTTTTTATTAACATCATGTGAGCTTTCGAGTTGTCTGATATTCTGAGCAAAACCTTCTTGCATTGATTTATCTATCTTGTCTTCTGTAATGCATATGAGATTTCCGGATTTCGATTCTATTATGGCATAATCAGTCGGTCCATAATATTTTTTACCACTGACTTCATATTCAACAGCCATATTAAAAATGTTATTTGTACTAGTTTCGGCAATTCGGAGAGCTGTGTGAAGGATTGTTGATACAAACTCTCTTCGAATTTTTTCATTAGAATTTGGGGGTAAAGTCCCGTAGCTTTTAATTCTGATTAAAATATTATTGATACAGTTTTGAAAATACTCATCATTATCTTGAATTTCGTGAATTTGTGGTTCAAATGACGGAATCCTTGAAATGTCATCAGAGTCAACGCCATAATCTTTTAAGACATCTTTCAAAGATCTAATGGATGAATATTTCTGCCTCTTCCGTTCACTGCACTCCTTAGCAAAGCTGACAATTCGTTCTGCAGGTCCAAAACTAAAACCAAAATCGCAAAGCTTTTTTTCGGTTATTTTTAAGAAATTTTCACCATTGATTTCCACCTTTCTAATAATTTCAAAGTGTTTCTCATTAAGTTCTAATTTTTTTACAGTCTGCAAATACTCAATAAGTTTTTCCGTGCCATATTCATGAATTTCGTCAGAAGTCGGGGGATTGATTTCCATGACTACAAATTTGTGGGAAAAAAGGAACCTTAGAATGTTTATATGTGACAGTCATATGATCGATCAGTTGATCCTACCGTTGTTTGGATATAATCCAAAGCATTTAAGGATTAGTATGATTCCCTTGACTTCTAGATAACCGGTGTAGCTAATAAAAGTGATCATGATAAGAACGCCTGCGATTGGAAGTAGCTAAGGTAACGTTAGAGCAAGAAGAAAACTTTGCAGATTATTTTCATTATAATAACATTATCCAACACACCGCAACTCCAGCAATAAAGATTACAAAGATGATAATTGGAGTACAGAAAAGGCAGATATCATATACACAAAATAACGAATTCGAGACATTTTGGTAAGAGTGGATGCTACAATCACACAAAACAAATTTCTGTTATATAATTCAGCAAAAACAATTCACCTGATCAAAAGAGTAAATCAAATTATTTGTTGCAAAGATTATGCCAATATTACTATGTCGATATGTATATTTTCAAACCTTATTACCAAATTGTTAATTCCGATTTATTTAATTATTCGAGAATTTTCACATTCACATTGCCTATATATACCAACTGCTACTTTTTTACACGTTTTGCAATATAGGTGCGAATGATGATCACATTCGTCACAAACCTTACATCCGTGTTTCCAGCCTCTAAAGATATGCCACTTTTCGATATACTTTCGGCTTTTTTTATTTGTATATGTACTATTATCGTTATGATTTTTCATCATTTTATATATTAACAGAAGAAAAAAAAAATTATACGTGCTATTTTTTTTTATACAATACAAACCTGTTATGTGTGGCACTTGTGTTTGTGACCCATTTACAAACAAATTATGCCTCAAGGAATTTCTATGATACGTTTCAGATTGAACGAAAGTGGTTTTTTTATGTACGTATATTAGATAATTTTATTCTATAACAAATACAGTTATGGTAATACAAAAATCATGGAGAAAG